GTGAGTGTGTGTGTGAGTGTGTGAGTGCGTGTGTGAGTGCGTGTGTGTGAGTGCGTGTGTGAATGCGTGTGTGAGTGAGTGCGTGTGTGTGAGTGCGTGTGTGAGTGCGTGTGTGAGTGCGCGTATGCATGTGTGTGTTTGTGTTTTGTGAGTTTGTGTGTTTGTGAGGGTTTTTGTGTATTTGTGAGTTTTTTTGAGTTTGTGTGTTTTGTGAGTTTTTATTTGTGTGTTTGTGTGAGTTTGTGTGAGTTTGTGTAAGTTTTTGTGTGAGCTTTTGTAAGTTTGAATGAGTTTGTGAGTTTGTGTGTGTTTTTGTGAGTTTGTGTGTGTTTGAGTCTTTATGTGTGTGTGTTTGTACCTTGTCTGAATCCTCCAGGTCTTTGTTGTAGAGCAGTGCGTGGTTTGTGCGGAAGACGATCCAGTCGAACAGAGCGCCATACAGAGATTTGGCCATCGAGTCCCTCACCGTCCCCGCCTGTGCAGACACACACCTGTCAATCACCGCCATCACACGTGTGTGTGTGTGTGTGTTTACAGTCTCAGATCCTCATCACACAAACACACACATACTCACTCATAGCCAGTCAATGTAACTAAATCAGGAAACCAGCTCAAACTAGATTTTTACATTTTGTGAGGAAAACGAGAGTGATGTCTGCCTGAAATCACCAGCATCTACAGAGTTAAGCGTGAACAACCGAAGAACAGACCCAACGTTCAATGAGAAATAAAGATAAAACAAGGACAAAGCAGAGGACGTGTTTGCTGCTTCAATAACTGAAAGCACTGTATGAAACGCAGATATCACAGTGAGATTGTGTTTCTGCAGGGGAAAGTGTGTGTCTCAGGCTTGTTTAGGGGAAACTGTGGTCTCACACACTGAAACGTCCCTGAATTTCCAAGTCGTCATTTCCCGTGTCACACAAACCTGTAGCATGCCATCACAGGAGTAATTAAAAACCTGTGTGTGTGAGTGAGTGAGAGAGAGTGTGTGTGTGAGAGAGTGTGTGAGTGTGTGTGTGTGTGAGAGAGAGAGTGAGTGTGTGTGTGTGTGTGAGAGAGAGAGTGAGTGTGTGTGTGTGTGTGAGAGAGAGAGTGAGTGTGTGTGTGTGTGTGAGAGAGAGAGTGAGTGTGTGTGTGTGTGTGAGAGAGAGAGTGAGTGTGTGTGTGTGTGTGAGAGAGAGAGTGAGTGTGTGTGTGTGTGTGAGAGAGAGAGTGAGTGTGTGTGTGTGTGTGAGAGAGAGAGTGAGTGTGTGTGTGTGTGTGAGAGAGAGAGTGAGTGTGTGTGTGTGTGTGAGAGAGAGAGTGAGTGTGTGTGTGTGTGTGAGAGAGAGAGTGAGTGTGTGTGTGTGTGTGAGAGAGAGAGTGAGTGTGTGTGTGTGTGTGAGAGAGAGAGTGAGTGTGTGTGTGTGTGTGAGAGAGAGAGTGAGTGTGTGTGTGTGTGTGAGAGAGAGAGTGAGTGTGTGTGTGTGTGTGAGAGAGAGAGTGAGTGTGTGTGTGTGTGTGAGAGAGTGAGTGAGTGTGTGTGTGTGAGAGTGAGTGAGTGTGTGAGTGAGTGAGTGTGAGAGTGAGTGAGTGAGTGCGTGAGTGCGTGAGTGCGTGAGTGAGTGAGTGTGTGTGTGTGTGTGTGTGTGTGTGAGAGTGAGTGAGTGAGTGTGAGAGTGAGTGAGTGAGTGAGTGAGTGAGTGAGTGTGTGAGAGAGTGAGTGAGTGAGTGTGTGAGTGAGTGAGTGAGAGTGAGTGAGTGAG